GTGGGGCAGCAGGGTTGGAGGGTGGGATATGGGGTTGGAGAATGGGATATGGGGCTGGGATGTGGTTGGGGAGAGGGGATTGGGGGCAAGGACTGACATGGGGGAACGAGTGGCATTAGGGGATAGAGGGATATGGGGGCAGGGGATGGTAATGGAGCGGGATATGGGGCCTGGGGGATTGGGGCAGGGGTGGGATGGGGAGACGGGAGTGACATTAGGGGCTGGGGTGGGATATGGGGCTGGGAGCTCAAGGGCTGGGGAGGCTGGGAGTGGGATTAGGGGTGGGATATGAGGCTGAGGGATTAGGCTGGAACCTGGACCTGGGTGTTTAGGGCCAAGACCCAGGATCGGGAATGGGGGATTAGGGCCGTTAAATGGGATTTGGRGCTGGGGGGATTTTGGTTGAGGCTGGATTTGGGATTTTAGGGCTGGGACATGGGATTGAGGGCTGGGAAATTAGGGTCAAAACGTGGGATTTGGGGCTGGGGTACTAGGGATGAATGAATAAACGGTGAGGGAATTGGGGCAGGAAATGGGATGTGGGGATGGGGTTTTAGGGGTAGATTTTGGGATTTGGGGCTGAGAGATTGGGGATTTGGGGAGGGGGGATTAGGGCCAGGACACAGGGGACTAGGGGAGTAGGGATACAGGGTGAGATATAAGGCTGGGATCTCAGGACCAGGCCATGAGAATTCCGGGGGGATTCAGGCTGGGACATGGGATTACATGGGAGAGATTCCGGGCAGGCARTGGGATTGGGGACAGGAGGTCTGGGAAGCAGGACCCTATGCGGGAACAGGCACCCAAGGACAAGGGAACAGGGACAGGGAACAGCCGGCRGCCTCCCCAAACTTCCGCTTTTCCTTGCTCCTTATCGGGAACGTCGCCATCTGGACAGGAGCGGCCGCCGGACTCTGACACGGAGAGAGCCTGGGAAAAGAAAACACCGTCCGGATCCGGGCACGTTTCCACACACGGCCACGGCGAGGAGGAGGATGGAGGTTCCTAAGGGCTCCCGGGGCTTTCTCCCCATTCCCGGCCGCGGGAAGAAGGACATTGTCCCCTCTGGAAGCCTTAAGGTGAAGGAAACGGGAGCTTTAATGGCAGGAAAAGGGCCAGGAAGGAGTCGGGCAGTGGAGCAGGTGCCCGGCCGGAGCTGCCAAAGGGGCTGACGCTCCTGCCAGGCCCCTGAGCGAATTCCTGTGGATTTTGGCACGGATGCGGGATGTCGTAGAGAGGCTGACGTGGGAAGAGCCAGCGCCAGGACCTGGGCTGACCCCCTGTCCCCGTTTTTGGGGCAAAATCCATAGGTTTTGGGAGCTAAGTGAGCGGGGAAATGATCCCACTTAGCCGCGTTGGTGCTGAGCTGAGCACTGTTTTTTTGGAATTTCATGGATTATTGGACACCTTTGGCAGCCCGAGCAGCTCCCGTTCCCCCCCCATCCCTGGGAATATCCATCGGCTCCAAGTGACGGACGGGAAATGAAGGAGGAAGCGCAGGTGTCGGGCTGGAAGTCGTTGCGGAAGCTCCCGGCCGTGCCTGGGGACACGGGATGGATCCCGCGCACGTTCCCGGTCCTCCCATGACCCCGGCAACCCACCCGTCCTTCACTAAAATCCTCCTTTTTTCCCTCATTTAGGTGCTGCKAATTACCTCCTCTGAGCGTAAAGCAGGTCTGCGTGGGATCAGAAAGATCTCGTGCCGTTTTCCATAAAAGAAATCCCTCCATTTGGAAGAAAACTCTTTTTTGGGGTTAAAATGAGTGTGCAATGCCAAGACGTGCCCAATGCAAAACACTGCAAAACAATGCAAAAAAGCTGCATTTTCCAGCCAAAAAGCTGCATTTTCCAGCGCCCGGACACGTCAGCCAAGGTCGGAAAGCCAAGAGCAGGAAGCTTAAAGGAGGAAAACACAAGGTGAGTGGGACAAAAAGGATGAGTTATGGGTTCAGACCCGCATCCTTCTCCCATAAATCACATTTATGGGGAGCAAAATATCCCCGTGCCGGATATTCCTTGGAGAGGAAGGAATATTTGGCCCTGGAAATATTTTCGGAAGGAAATGGAGGTATCAGTAAATAAGATGAAGCCAATGGCAAATAYGGGGCTCAACGTGGGGCTTCCTGGGGCTGTTTTGGGGGGAGGCTGGCGGCAGTCGCCTCTTTTGGGATGGGACAACGTGAAGTGCACATTTCTACAGCAATTTTTAAGCTTTTTGGGTATCTACCTGTTCTTCAAAAATGGATCTTAACATAAGCACAAAAAATAAAAAAAAATTATCTCTAGCTGAACCATTAGCCGATGTAACTCTGCTTTTTGCCAGCAATTTTGGTCTAGTTCTTGGCCTTTCTTGCGCTAATTCTGTCCCCTTGCAAGGCTAGCGGCATATTCATTCCTGTTGCTTTGATGATCCCAACTTTTCCTGTTATTTTTATGTATATTTAAGTGGGAAACGATGGATCTGAGTCACCCAGCACACCGGTTTGCTACTGGAAGGACCCCATTAACTCTAGTTATCCTTAATTCATTCCTGGAGTAAGAAAGGAGGAAGCCTGAGAAACTCCAAAATGAGAGAGTTGCCAGAAACTAAAAGAAATTTAGACTAAATTAACTGTATTTGGTACGGGGATCCCTCAGCCCCCAGTCATATAGCATTAATTAAAACTTATTATTAAGAATTAACTCCTTTCACTCAAAGTTAGATGTTTGCTAGCTATCTACAGTGAGTTTCCAGGGTTTTTTACCCATTTTTTTTGTTTGTTTTCACAAACACATTGTGAAATGACTGTTGGGATGAGTCCTCAGGCTCTGCTTGTGCTGGTGGTTTGGGCTGTCAGTGCAAGTTGTTATTAACAAGAGATGGTTGAAAAAAATCTTCATATATTTGAGAATAAAGATCAGGAGTTGGGAGATATTTTCTCCATAAAGTTCACAAATGCATGGGCCAATGTTGGTCCTTCTCCTTCCCCAACTATTATCTAATAAATGACCTTAGGGACATCTCATAACTTATCCGGGGACCCCAAGGATCCATCTTCATGGTGCAATTTTAGGAGCTTAAGTSATTCTGCCAATGACTTCATCACATCTCCATTTATTTTACTTCTAAAAGGAAAAAAAAAAACCAAAAAAGTAAAAGGAGGACATTAATATCACACTGTTCTGTGCTCAGATTGCACATTGGAATTTTCATATCTTTGCTTATCAGCCACTGTTTCAAGCTCCRTGGGGCAGTAGTGTTTTTGCTCAAGGACTTATTTCATGAGATAAAACTACTTAGTAATATATATGTTTTATTTTACCAGTGCCCCAAATTTCCTGAGATCTCAGGAAACTCACTCAAAACCAAATTTAAGCAAAACAGTAACATTTCAGTGACCCCTGCAATGGAGGGGAGCCCCTTTTTGAGCCATAAAAGGGTTATTTTCAGCTCGGGGCCGAGACTCATCTGAAAATGCTGGGRCAGAGGAAATACGCACCATTTCCCGGGCACAAACAGGGGTCACAGCAGCACCAGGTGCCACAGAATTATGTATTTTGCACTGCAAAAAATAAAAATGTAGAAAAAGTAACATTAAAACAAGCTGCCAAGGGGGTGAGGGAATRGCCTGGGGCCGTGCTGCAGACTTGCAAGGGTAAAAAGGAAACATATAAAGTAAAATTAATAATAAAATTGTTGGGAATGGGGCTGAGGACTGTGCAAAGACTGTCACATGAGCATTCCCATGTTGTTTTACCTGGAGAAAAAGAGAAAAAAAAAAGAAAAAAAAAGAAAAAAGGGAAAAAAAGGAAAAAAAAAGAAAAAGGAAAAAGGGGAAAAGGAAAAAAGGGGAAAAGGAAAAAAGGGGAAAAGGAAAAAAGGGGAAAAGGAAAAAAGGGGAAAAGGAAAAAAGGGGAAAAGG